ACTATCCTTATTTCTTCAACTTCTTTGTATATACTACTGAAATCTTCATATACTTTCTACATTTTCAAAAATTATGGCATAGTTAAGCAAGGGGATTCAAAGTTTTTCTTAATAACTCGCTCCAGCTCATATACATAGTTTTGGTTATTTGTTTAGAGGATGGACATGTCAGAGCAGCCTTTGGTAAAAATTGTTGCATTTTTGCTCACATTCGCAGCATGTGCAAAGAATGTCCATACAAATCCTATTGGTCTGTATTTAAAATAAAAATTAGAAGTTATTAAAACAGACCCTAGAAGAACGCCCATACCATAGCCCAGACTTTGACTGCTTTTTTCAGTTTCAGACTTTTTTAGTCTGGCATTGTAAAATATTTTTCTTGAAGTAAAAGGATCCTCTCAGGCAATTAGAGTGGAAAATTTCTATTGTTTTTTAAGTTTCTTTTGAAGAACTTAATATAGAACAGTTTGTCATGTTTGTGCTCAGGGGGAGACTCAGTGCCATGAAGTCTCTGAGGGAAACTGGCCTTCTTTAGAATAGGGGAAAATGTCAGGAGAGGGAACACATAGATATAAAAAATTCAGCAAAGCCAATACAATCTCTTTAAAACTAGTTCCTCATTAATCACAGTATTTTTTATGGTCAAAACCAGGCAACCTGCTATGATTGATTAGTTTGTTTTATTCTACATGTATGTTCTGAGCTAAATTACAAGCAAAAATTATTTGGCAGACAGCACGCTAATTGCACTCAGGAACTTTCCTTATTTAGAAATTTTGAGGGGAGACTTCTTGGCAGAAATCTTCATCTACATTAGCAAATTTCACGATTTACTACTTCCATAATGTTTTGTGAACATTGTGCTGAAATCATGCCCATGTCTGCGGCACTTTAACAACCCCAGCTCCAGACAATGTCATCTTAACGTGGAAGAGTTTATGCAGCACCTGCTCCATCTTCTGTCTGGCCTAAAATAATATTATTATTCCCTTCTTTCCTGGGCTTTAAAATCAATCATTTTAAGAGGTGAGAGAAATAACAGCAACCCCTTAATAAGGCCTTGCTATTTCTTTGGCTGGAAATGAAGATTAAGGTTCTTTTCTGTAAGGAAATAGTGAAAATGGTGTGAGGAGGCAGTGAACCTATTTCCTCATGCAAACCAGTAAGAGGAGATGTACAGGCTGCCTTCAGAATAGCCCATTTCCGAGCCAGCATCCTGCACAAATGAGCTCACAAGGGGAAGGCTCAGATCCAACCAAGGCCTAATTATGAGGGTCTGTGAGGAGCACTGGCTCTTTGGAGAGGCTGAGATGACCCATATCATTGAATGAGTCAAGGAAAATACAGAAGGATTTTAAGCAGGCTGTTTTGGAAGAGAAGCAAGGGTGTAGCTATGGAGCACTATAGCTTATCAGCAATAACATACCTCCCAGAAGGAGCTGACCGGCATGAGATCCCGCTTATGCAGCACTTGGAAAAGGGACGAGTGCTCCTGGGGTATCGGTGTGCATTTGGTCTGACTCCCTTAAGGGATTTTTACCAAGGAGAACTAAGGGTCCAGAATAGTATGAGATAATTGGATATGTGTTTGATAGCTGCTCTCCAAACAGGTTTTTCAGTTTGAGGATCACTAAGAGCTTTGCTGGGGAGAGTGGTAGAGGGTTGTGGCCATTGCACCTGGAGCAGTTGTGTAGACAACTCCTCGTCCTCCCTCTATAGGTGATACAAGGGGTTTGTAACAGGGTTGCTTGGGGCTGCCAGCGAGTGAGTGTCCACATCTATTCTACCACAGACCATGCACCCAGTGCAGCCTGAGTAAGCGTGTAGGAATCTGGTCTTTCATGGTAGGGTTCACAAGTAGATGAACTCCATTTTCATGCCACCTTCAGGCTTGCTGACAGCCTGGTCTCCCCTGGCCACTGCTACATAGCCTATCTCCAGCTCTTTTCTACAGTTTCTCTGAAGTCTGCTAGATCAGGCTTGGCAAGGAGGGATGTATTCTCAGTCCCTGTGCATGTGACACTGAAGTTTCCTACAGGTGAGGGAATGAATGTTGCTACTCTAGGGAAGAGGATTCTCTTCAGAAGAGGTGAGGAATAAACCAAAATCTACCAAGAGGAAAATGTTCACCTCTGAGAGGTGTTTGTGGGGGGAAACCTGGCTCTTAGATTGCTTTCATAGCCCATGGTAGAAAAGAATAACTCAGAGCATGAGGATGGATGGATGGCTACCGCCTACCTTCCAAGGTCTACATCACAACCTGGACATGCGTGCTGTTACGTGTTGAATATAGAGACAGTTTATGGTAGCTACGTTTGTAAATGAGGTCCTTCCAGACAATATGCAATTCCATCAGTCAGCCTTTCAATCCTCATATTTATCAAAAGATTTCAAGGCAAAACTCCAAGATTTTGCTACAAAAGAAATTTCCCAGCCATTCTGAACAACTTAAGGAGCTCGGGAGATACAATTCTATCTTTCCTCAACCATATCAGAGAAAGGGAAGGTGACTGCTTTTTTGTCTGCAGCAGAGCTCTTTCCTGGTAGACCGAATGGAGGGCTTTTCCTTCTGCCTTATCAGGTACCAAAGCTGGTTTATGCAGCATTTCTCATTGTGTTAAAGTTTTCCTCTTCTAAAAGATGATGCAGTGAGCAGACCTGACAGGACTAGTCTACCCGTGATTGGTTTAGAGTAGACTTGGTAGTGTAGGTTAATGGTTGGACTGGATGATCTTAAAGGTCTTTTCCAACCTAAACGATTCTATGATTCTATGATTCTATGACTTGTCTGGGCTCTGGTCTGAATTATTGGCTGTAATTGGTATGTCTGTCCCTTAACTCCACCTGTGTTATCTGAAGCATTACAGGTTTGAATTCTTACAATTGTGTAACCTGTTTATTTGGGGATGATATTTCCCCCTCTATTTATAATATCTTGCTCCTCTTCTCTCTCCTCACCTCTCTCTTGGGTGAAAAAACCCAAGAAGTAGATAATTCATTTGACAAAAAAATTAAGTACTTTGGTTTTTCTCCCATAAGAGGCTTTTGTTTGGTTCACTAGTTTTCTCTCTTCCTCCTGCACTCAGAGGTTACTCTCTGTTGAGATAATCAAGATAGCTAATCAAAGAGGTTGAGTCTTAACAGGAATAGCTGGCTTGAAACTTAAGTAGCTAATGCATACAAGCTTGAAAAGATCCAGAAAAGGTTGTAGAGCTAATCTTTCTGGAATGGGAATTTTGTGGCTGCTGTTAGTAGGAGTTCAGTATGACACTTACCTGTTCTCTTATCCATACCTTACAAAAATGACTTTAGGCTACCCATAAAGACACCTTCTGGTTAAAAACCTTGAGAAGAAAAGATATAATTTCACTCCACCAGCAGCAGCTGTGGGTGATACTTTGCCTGTGGAGCCAAAAGCTGTCTGGGCACCATTCAGACTTGAAGGGTCAGTGCTCAACAAACCCCTCTTGCCCCTCCATATTCCTAATGGATCCCATCTGCATCAAACCTGTCATCTTGAGCACTTTAATGTTTAATCAGCTCCATGGACCTCTTCACAGGGGCCTTGCAGACATTGTGGCTTATGGTTTATAATCACTGACACATACCTTCTAGCAGGAGAGCAGAAGTTGCTGTTCCAACTGCAGGAGCTATGGAAGGGGGAAACTGCAGAGATCGGTGTCCTCACATAGCTTTTGCCCTGATTCTAGCTGGTCTTTGGCTAGGAGTTCACAGGAAAAGCTAGTTTTTTCACATTGGAAAGACTGCACAAAATCAATTTCTAAACACTCCTCTTGCTGCTGTCTGTGGACTTGCTACAACAGCCCCAGTGCAGTGGGAATGTGCAGCCAAAGGAGTTCTTGCCTGAAAGGGCAGAGCCGGAGTGTAACTGTGGTACAGCACCAGGTCACAAAACAGGCAATAAAGATAATTCAGTTAGTGTCTAATTATTGCATTTAGTTTTGTTCTGTTTTGAAACTATGGTCTGGCAAACATTGCCTTTAATGAAGAAATAAACTCTGTACAAGTAGAGAAGGCCTTTTTCTTAAAGGCTAGGCAGGCTTTGGCTCTTTTCGCTGGTTTTGGGTGATGTTGGCCTCAAATTGCCTTGTTATTCCTATCTGTAGACCAGTGATGATAATGCCCTTACTTTTTAAAGCAGTTTGAGATCTGCTAATGAGGTATACTGTATACAAGCTTTATTAGTGTTCTTGTCTGTAGAATATTACTATACACAGAGATGTAGCAATGTGACTTCAGAATATGTAATGTAATTATTTATGCTGAGTATAAATACTGTCAAGGCAATGATGTCTGTGCTATCATAAAATAACATTATGCTGCTCTGACATTTAGCAAAAAAGCCTCCTTTTTCTATATTGCATTTTCTATGTCTCACTGATCTTCTGCTACAAAATGAAGGTAATGGATGAAAGAACAAGAAAAGCATTTTGATTTTATTTTCTTAAAAAATTAGATATGTAGTATTAATAGGAGCTTTTCCCTTGAAAACCCGACTGCATATCAGTTGTTATACAGTTGCTGAACTTTCCTGCAGTCATTTTCAAAGGAAAATTATCAGGTGGAAAAGCCATAGGGTGAAGAAGATGAAATGATATTTTTCTTATGGCAGTATGATTCAAAAATATAATTATTGTTTATCCTTTGTGGACATCATCAGTGTTGATAAATATAATTACTTTGTTTGCCATCCCTTGACTAATTCTTAAGGCTTAGGCAGTCAGCAGTGGAACGAATGTGTTTAACTTTGTATTAATAAGAAACAGAAATTGTCAGTTAAATATTTGATCTTACCAGCACTTGCTAGTGGTATAGTGCTTACCTTACAGTAAAACAATCTACTGAAATCTGTCACTAAATATTAGATGATTCCAGCTGAAAGATGCTTTACAAGGTCATGGTGGATTTCAAAAACTGGTGTGCACCAGCTTAAATAAGGACATTCCTGAAGCTGAAATTTTATTTTTCTCTTTTTGCAGGGATCCCCAGAATTTGGATCCCCCTGAGGTCAGCAATGCAAAGCTTCAGTATGCTGGTTGGGGTCCAAAAGGGCAACAGCTGGTAAGAGAAAGAATAAGTGTGCAAATGAATTTAGAGACCATGCTGCTATTGTTTGGAAGTAAAGAAAGGATAATTCTTTATTGACTAGTTTCTTGAAACCTGTGTGGTAGCTTCTAGCATCTTTATTGGGATTGTTTTATCATGTACTTTATCTAGAAAGTTCCCAAATACATAAATTTACTGCAAAGTAATTGCGTCTAAAAATGCAGAGAAAGTACACTTTATGAAAGCTCTTTCAGAGGATGCACCTGCTTCTCCCAGTGTTGGACACAGGACAGGATATAGACATAATAGACAGCACGATTTACTTAGCATATCATTGCTTCACGAGGGTGTCTTCAGACTTGCAAACTTGGCACTAGGGATATTTTAATATTAGCAGCCCTGTTTGGAGAATGCATCTCTCTAGAACAGAATTGCCCTGAATTTGCCCTGTTCCAAAATGGACAAAAGTAGAAGTGTACTCTGAAAAGTTTTCAGAGCAGGCTTTAAAAAAGCCCACTCGTCAGGGATTCATTGTGTTTCATGGAGCCTTTCATACTGCAACAATCCTGAAATCTCCAGTGTTTTTTCCCTCAGCCACTGCCATCTTGGATTTGCCCGTTTTTTAGAGCACGTATTTCCTGGCCAGATCCCCTGGCTTCATTTCCTGGTGCAAATCCAATATTAAGATTTTCCATATGCCAAACACTCTCTTTCTACTGTAACAAGAAAAGAAGAAGTGGCAACTTCTTTTTTTATAGGGAATTTTTATACCAAAAATGAGCTTTAAAAGATCATTATCTGAGAAAATCTGGCATATGTCTCCTGTCCCCAGTGCTCTCTTGGGGATTTTTTGTCTGTGTCCTTAACTAGATTGTTTTCAAATTTTATGATTTAAAAAACAGCAGCAGAAAACATTATCATTGCCAGTCTGCAAATCAGGTTGAAGGAAACGTAACAGATACAGGAGCAGGAAAGGCTCCTCTGCTCCATCAGGAAAATTGGGTTTGAGAGAGTCATCGACCTCAAATCTGATAGGAGTGGAGATGCAGCAGCCTGTACCTCCATGCGAAATGACTTCTGAGGAGCTCATTTTTTCTCATTGCACACATGTACATGCCCCACTTTCATCCTCTAACGTGTCATTTCAGATTCCTTAGTCTGCTGCCCAACCGATCACTGCTGAGCAGTTTGTACCGATTCACAAGAGATTGGGGTCTGATGCTGATCAAACTCTTTCTTTTATATTAATTTGTGAAGACTGCTGTGTTCTCCTCATTGCACTTCTGGTCAGCTGATAATGTGCAATCAGTTGATAACACACTATGTTCAACAAACAGAGACTGCCTTTAGGACGTGGCAAAGAAAGTAAAAACAGACCAGCATTTTTTTTCTTCAATGTTCACTGGCTTTTTCTATTTTAAGTCTAACAGACTGAGCTTCACAATGTATAGCGAAGGCTACATCTGCTAATTGAAAGCTAATATCGAGTTGCGTTAGTCATTTTCAACATTTCACAAGTGAATCTTCCTTTCTTTAATACAGTTTTGCTGTGAATTTGCATACCTTGAGTCACAGCATGTTAGTGATTCCCATTCATGTTAGTTTTACCAAGCTGAATGGGTGTACTTAACTTCCATCTTAGAAAGAAGATTTACTTTTTTTCTTACCAAAGTCAAGACGACCAGTTTACTTCCTCCATTGCCTTCTCTAGTAATGTAACATAACTATACAGAAAGGAAAAATATTCATATCAAAATGGATGAATTATATATACAGCAGGACAGTACATACAGTCCAGGAGAAGAAAAATCTTCTTTACTCCCTGCTTTATCCTTTAATGCTGAAGTAAATGATACCACTTTCCACCAATTTTTATTAAGGAATACACATTGAAAACTTAATTCTGTAAGAATTCCCTAAGACATCAAGTTTAGTACATGTGCCTTCCATGGGATGCATGGCAGATTTTTTTTAAAGTAACTTCAAATATTCCTGTTACTCTTGAATTCCATATGAATCTTGGAAATATCTTGCAACAGTGGATTTGTTCTGTACATTTCTTTTTTCTTCCAAATAAGTAAATCTGTTGGCCTGTAATTCAGCTGTATTCCCTGTTCTTGCATTTGGAATTAGGGTAGGTGAGGAGAACCTGACTGGTAGTTTAACGCGTTATCTTGCTTGCCTCTAACATGTGCCTTTTTGCTCTTTTCCTTGCCAGTCATTTACCTTAAAATAAAATTATAGCTGTAGTTTATAAAATAAGCAGGCTTTTACATGCATCAATATAGTATATTTATAGCTAATGATCAGCAGAGAAGTGCCAGAGAAAAAAAGAAGCTTTTTTTTTAAAAAAAAGAAAGCATTAGAAATGAGGTAGAGAAAATATACAATGCTCACTGTTCTATATTTCAGGACTAATTGAGTTACTCAGAATATAATTGCCAGTGAAATACATGTCTCTCTGTGGGGACAACATCGAGTGCAAAGGCAGAGAAAAATTAAAGTATATTTAAACTTGATGTTGTGAATGTGTTTGCTAAATGTAGGCTGGGTTGTGTTGCAGGAGAGGGAGGGAAAAAATGTCAAGTGGGATAGAAAGGAGTAATGTGCTGGGAACTACATATCAGCTCCCCTGGTTCTAGGTGGTTACAGGGCCAAACACTTTTTAGAGTATTTTAGGGTGGTCCTACAACTGCACTAAGGCACATGAGCGTGTGCCAGCTCCGGTACTGCTCACAGCAGTTCCCCTCTGTTCACAGTTTGCAACCCGACTTCATGCTGCCTCTCCCAGGAAAGGTGGGAGCAAAGGGTGGGTGGGTTTTGCATCATCTTGAAGATACCCCAATTTTCAGGAAATATAAAGGTTTCCCCTTGAAATCTCCTGGGTTGTTCTTTGGCAGCACAAAGGAGAGGCAGGGCAGCAAAGTAAGAGGGTTTGGTTCTGAAATTTTTTATTCCCTTTGTAGCTTCTATTTCATCCTTCCTAGGGGAACTTCTGGTCGCCGTCTCCAACCTCTTTCTCTCTTGCATGTCTAATCATTCAAAAAAGAAACAAATCTGAAACAGAAGCAGCCTGAATGATCTACATTCTTTGCAATTAAAAATAACCAGTGGAACTTTCCCAGGAGCAATTTTCTATTTATCTTGTTTTCTTTTGTCCTTACTCATTAAATTATATGCCAATTTTTAGATGATGAACTCCTCCAAGCATGGTTCTTGACTTCTTACTAGCCTGCAGAATGCCACACATGCCAACAGAGCTGTATAAATAATGGCAGATACTGGATCTGAGAAAATCTGTCAGAGATCAGAATGCAAAAAAGCCCTCACTTCTGGCACCTCCAAAAAATGCTTCAACCTTTCTCAGATCTCAGCCAAAGTCTTAACGAATTAAGTCTTCCTAAGCTGTTGGAAGAATTGGGCCCTGATCAGTATGAGCTCCTGAGTCAATAGAAAGAGAGCCACTGACTTTAGTGCAAGAGGGAACACATTTCCTAAATGTGGCTGGTATTAAAGGGCTCATTCCTCTTACTTGTCCTACGACACGAGCAATCATTTATGCCTTTGTAGAATGAGTGAAAAATACTGTTAAATTGGAATAGCAGTGTGATATATTCACTTGTAAATGACTGTAAAATGTCTATGAAAAAAATCCATCCTTTCCATGGTGCACCCAACAGCCCAAAGTCCCCCTTAGCATTCAATGGCATCATCCCACTGGCCTTCAGCATGGTGCTTGGTGGTTTTCAGTGAATAGGCTGTATTATTCTCAAACAGTTTGTGTGATACGTTCTAGCAATATGAGGATGTTGGTGGCACGATAGGACTGCAAAAAAGTGTTAGGCTGTATCTTTGCCCTGTTCTGTGTATGCTTATCTTTGTAAAAATCTTCACTCCTTAGATTTCCTCTCTTTTTCTGATCTTGCCATTTATGACTCAACAGCTACCCACTTCTGGAGTTTCAATTCTGCCACAAAAAAGCTTCTGTTAATTGATCTTATTGCAATATTTTACCAGTTTCATCATGTTACATCTTTTAGAACAAGGTTGTGCCCACGTGCAGAGGGCTCACATGAGGTTACTGTATATTTACCCCGATAGTATCTATGCAAATGTTAATAGTTACTATGACCATGAACTCAGTTTTCATAAAATTTGTGTGGCTTACAGGCTTGGACTGTTCTATTTATCAAAAAAATAAGCACAGTGTGAAGAGGTTTCCTTTGCTGGTTTGCTTGGCAACATGGCTGAAGTCAGGGAGTGCTTCAGGAGCAAGAGACCGTCTAATGCCTATCTGTAGCTGAAATGCTCAAGGAATCCAAAAAAACTGAAGTTTTCAGGAGGCTTTTATCTAAGTTATCCCCAAATGAGCACATCCAGGTTCAAAATATTTGCTTTAGGGACAAGCTAGGTATATACATGGGCCCTATTGTGAAAAGGAAGGAGCAAGCAGTAGGACTGCTCTCATAATGTGAAGTGAATATTTGCCTGCGCTGACAGCACGGACGTACAGTTCACAGGCGTTGTTAAACTCCAGTTTCAAAAGCAGAAGAACTTCTGCCGTGCTGCTATTTTCCTTTTTTTTTAAATCAGAATCTGCAACAGCCCTGACAGATACTAATGATAACAGTGACACAGCAGATGCTGGGGGAAGCAGTTCTGCACAACTTTAGAGGCAGCAGTTATAATTCAAAAAAATCTCCCTCATAGATCATAGTATTTATTCCTCAGCAAAGACAAACATTTTTTTGAGGTTCTCCTGGCCAGTCAGTCTTCTACTGTTTCCACTGTTTCTTTAAAGTACCAAAAACATACAGGAAGAGGTTTATAGTTGCTGGAAATTTTGTATGCTCTTGCACTTACTGCAACCCTGCAGAATGGTCAAAATGGGTTTCTCCTGCACTGATAGCAAATAAACCTTTTCCAGTGGCAACTTCTGGAGCAGGAACTACCTTTTATGCTTGTAGATTCTGCAGCAATCAAGTGTATAATTGGTTCTAAAGTAATAGAAGTTACGTTTCACAGCAGGTGCCCAAGCTGCGTTAAGAAATCTCTATTTCAGTGAAATGCAAATGCCAGGAAGAAGTCAGTCTTTCAGCCCCTACCATGTTAGAGGTTTGCAGGTGCCCTCAAACAATGAATGCTAACGCTGGTAAGCAGCTTATTGTCATAGATATTACTGTCTAAAAAGTGCAATACAATTGAGAGAAATATTGGAATTCATTCATATTTAAAACATTTGAATGATAGATCCTG